ACAGTGACAAGGGGGAGAAAATACAAAAACAGTTGCTATTTACACATAGTTATCACAAACAAACAATATTTTGGTTGTTTTTAGTTCAGTTTCTCTCCAGCCCTTGTTGTCTTTATCTTCGGCTTGTCTTTTGTGTGCTGATATATAACACTGTAAGAGAAAGATGCAAGCGTCAGTTAACAGCAGAATGGTAGCCTACAAAGTGAGAGGTGGCCCAGAAAAGTCAAAAAATTAAAGTTGTTGTCATATGCACCTTAATGTAACAAACTGAAGGGCAGTCTCAACCATTTCGAATACATATATGCAGCAAAGAAGGCATACCATAAGGAAATAGAATTTTAGAGGAAGACGGCTTATTGAAGGGGCGGGGGGGGGAGAGTTAAATCAAATTACTGTAGTCTGCATGATGTCATGTACTGGGATGTGATTANCCTCTATAACAAAACAAAGAACCCTGTCGAGCAAAACATCAAGTTCTTATAGGCTCTTATATCTGATGAAACTAAAACTTCAGAAGAATTGGTAATTTGTAATCTTGGAAAATGATCACATCACATGAAAACCATATAGATTCAGCCAAGCCTAAAAGTGGAGCTCCTAATTGCAGTAACTAACTATAAAGGAAAGAGAGGATTTGTTTTTCTTAGATCAGAAACTCAAAAAATGATCAAATTATTGTGAGCAAGCAATTGTTCAGCATGCAGTTTTGATATTTTTCCAGTTAAATTTTAACAAACTATGCCTATTAAGCGTAACCAAGATTGCGAGAAATTACGTATGCAATATATCAGCGGCTTTCCAAGGGACGATTGTGCAAGGAATATATCGCAAGAAACGTCAACAACACGCCAGGGGTTAATTTGCGTCAAAATTTTGCCTTTGCATGTACAGTGGAACCCCGCCTTACAACCACCCTGTTAATACGACCACCTTGTTATTACAAGCACTTTATTCTGGCCCAAGAAAAAGCTCAGTCAGTCATTTTTTTATTTAAAGAACCCCTTTAACACGACCACCCCATTCACACAACCAATTTTCCATGGCCCGAAGGTGGTCGTATTAACGGGGTTCCACTGTACTCCCTCTTTTTCCCCTGAATAATAACCTGGCTTGAGTCCATGATCCAATTGAAAAACCAGTAAATGATCAGCGGTCTACCTCCAAAAAACGCGCAACCTCGATGAGCTCTAAATTTGAGCCCACAATATGGTCATATGATACTGGTCAGTGGGTAGCTTGTTGTGACAGCTGTCTATTGACCATAACATAAATGTCCAAAATCAAAGATGTAGCTATGGTAATGGTGCTAATATCTTATTTTTCAAGGTATTGGAGTATGGAAGGACAGACATACGCACAGACGGTCACTTGACAACCAAAATTGTTTAGATCAATGGGTTACCAAATTTTCTGAGGTATGGGGCTTCACTTGTGCACCTTCAGTGCGCTGGAGCTCCACTAGAAAAGGAAATGATTCAGTTGTATAAATTCAACTAACCTGGCCATTGGCATATTCTTCTGTTTGTTCTAAAGCAATGTTCATGTAACCATCTAGGCAGGCAAGAACTCCTGATAAAGAAAGTTCAACAGTGAAAACTTCAGCTTACTTCCTTGGATTTTTTCAGCCTTCAAACATTATTTGTAGCCAGAAACTACTACAGTTCTACTACCGCTTATAAAATACATGTAACTCATTAGTCAATAGGTGTGTTGAGATGAGAGTTATGTTGACACGGTTGTGACGTTTTAGATTCGCGCGTATTTTTGAGAATTACTTTATAAAAGCAATAGAGTACTTTTCCCATACATAACCTCGTCTAAACACTCGGGATCTGGGAGAATTCTCGAAAGTTATGCAAACCCGAGACGTTGGGTTTCCATAACTGTCTCGAATTCTCCCAAAACCTCCTCGTCTTTAGATGAGGCTATGTAAACTAGGTAAAAGTGTTCTATATCGCTAAATACTACTTAAAGGTTGTCTACCGAAATTGGAAAGATATGACAGCCAACTGAAAGGGAATATTGAATGGCCTTTCTTTTTCAGATTTCTAACAACGCATCCCTATAGCTATTGTTTAAGCTTGAGATTGCAGCTGATAATAGAATGAAAACGAAAGCTGCAATTAATGAATGGACGAATTCTCAGCTGGTTTGCACGCACATGCCACAGAAAGCTGCTTACCTCGATAATCGACGCCATTGTTAAGCTTTACCACCACAGGGCGGCCTATAATTTGCTTCAGAAAGTCACTTGGAGTTTGTTTTTGACTCATTGCGGATGAACCAAGATTCCTTCAAGATGGCGTCTGCGAACTCGACCCAGTACTTTCAACCGAGAAATACAGTTTGAAACTCTGGAACTAGTCAAGGACTTGTATATTGTTGGACGGAGGAACTTCACTAACCTCGACATCTAAATAAGTGATCGCATAGAAATATAGTGAACACCTAACAAGAAACCAACCCTGAAATAAGAAATTTTTCACCAACACTGAACTAAGAATTACGGTGAACTTGAAACTTCAGTTAATTGTGTTCGTTTAAACTCCCCGTTTGCTTATTCCCTCAGTTTTTCTTCCTCAATCATGACGCTGACGCAAAAATAGCGTAGCAAAAATCAAGCTTCAAAATGCAAAAAAATCACAAATGACAAATGTGAACTTTACTCAAAAGAGAAAGATATCTCGGCACAACAGAGTGGAAACTAATAATAATCATCATCGTCATCATCATCTGTAATAATAAAATAATCTTTATGGAGGAAGCTCCTATCACATTGCGTGGTTTTCAGGGAGGTCCTCAGTAACTAAGGTGAAATACAGTAAAGAATTAAAAACTAATTACAATCAAACCCAAGAGCTAAGAAGCTGCTGGTGGAATTTATTTTTCTGTGTCAAAATTAAAGCAAGAAGATTCGTTTCCTAACCTGAGAATTAAAAATAAAAAGGTTTGTTTTCCAAGACGAGATCGGAAATATTCCAAAACCAGTTAATAAACAGATGTTACTTGCGTGACTAGCCTGCGAGCAGGCTCACGTTGGAGCATAAGCGCGCGCCTCAAACGCGCGAGCAGCGAAGCCGCGAGACGAGGAAGTGGCTTTCTCGGCGCCTCTTCACCAGACTCCTTCCCGCCTGATCGCTTTGCTCTTCGCCGCTCGCGCGCGTGACTCAAACGTGAGCCTGCTCCCAGGCTATTTGACAAAATATGGTGACACTGTAGCGTTAGAAAATTCCCCAGTAAGGCTTTCGAGGTTTCATTTTCCAAAGTGAATTTCTCCATGGTATAAAGTACAATTGCATTTGTTCCGTCAATACGCATCTTGAAAACAAGTTCGACTCAATTCTATCGTGTAATAATTTTTTTTAAGTTTCTCCACATTTCCCTTCAGTCTAAAGGATTGTTTTCCCGGTCGAGGCTGGAAAATCCGCAAAACAGCGTTATCTGATGCTGTTTGCGCGGGTTAAGTGTGACTAGCCTGCAGAACAGACGGATTAGCCGGGAAGAGAGAAAAACGCTCGTGTATCGCGTCTCGCTCACTGCCCCGCTAATCCGCCTGTTCTGCAGGAGGGGGCCGTAAGGGTTTGCGGTGATGCGGTTTTGCGTTATTTTTGGTGCGGTTTTGCGGAAATCTTTATTTTAA